GACAAGTATTTATCATCGTTGTAGATCAATTTTGAAGAGACCAACAAGTATCCGTTGGAATTTGCTTTACTTCTGTCTCACCTATACACAATGAGGACAAAACAATAATCGAAACAAGAAATGACACAAAAATTAAAACAATGTTGCAGCGATGCACGTGACTCGCATGTTTACAAACTGGAAAAAGTTAAGGATAATTAAATTTACTGGAGACAGTTGACATGTTTACACAAGTGGACATAAGCATAATAAGTCCAAACACCCTTAAATCTTAATCAAAGAATACTTCTGCTAAAACCCAATGCGCATATTTTATATGAATTATTAGTATTTCTATCTTATTTCTTGTCAGATAATTTGATATATTAAAAAAATTCATTTTTTTACATCTTGATCAAGTCCTATAAAATGATGAAAAACCAAAAGGAAAATATAAATAAATCCATATTTTCCAAAATTCCTACTTTAAGAAATGTAACATCTTTATAGAGTATATTTTGTTGGCGGGCATGGATTTTCTTTACTCACTACGATAAAATAGGTTTTTACGGAAATGGATTGTCTAAGCGTTCTAATAGAATATATTATTGAACTTAATTTCATACGACCAAACTATAAGATATATCTTATTTAAAAGCGTTACAATAGATTTATAGAACTTTTTTTGCATTCTAACAAGTTTTTATGACGCTTTTAAAATAATGTGTCTTATTAACTGTTTTATAGGACAATTGTAAGTGTCCTGTAAACCCATCATTTTATAATTAGTGTTTAATTTTAGGCGTCACAACAAAATTGGGTTCATAGGACGCCACCAATTGTTAAACGTCCATATAGACCGTTTTATATGACCAAAAATTAAAACGTCATATCTAAAAATATGACAGCAAGTTGATAAGACACTTTTGGACGTCTTAACAAATCTTTTATGATACTTTTAATATAAAACGTCACATTATCAATTTTATTAGACACTTTTTGGAAAATGTCCTATAACCCATCTTTTCAAAGGACAATTGTTTTATAGGATATTTTTTCAAGTAATGTCCTATAAAATTGCTAATATAATGTTTTCTATTAAAAGTATTCTAAACACTTGGTAAGACATCCAAAAAACGTCATATAAATTAATTACAATACTTTTAGATATGACGCTTTATTTTTTGATATTATAAACTAAGTCCAATAAAATGGTCTATCATGAAGCTTAATTTCTTTTTACATCTTATAAACTCAATTTTATTGTATTACATCCTATAAAATCAATTTTGTTGTAATGAATTTTTTCATATTAAATTTATATGTTCACATGAAAAAATTAATCCTTAATTCATCGGAATTGAGACCCAAATACTACATGCTGACATCACTTTAACGTTACTACCGACTTTAACTTTACTATTGTAATTCAAAATCATCACGATAACCATCTCTACTGAAGGTAGGGGAAAACTTGCGACCCGTAACTCGTGTATATATGGTGGGATTTAAACATCAAGACTTTTGAAATGTAATGATTAAATTAATTAACATTTGAAAAATCCATCTTGCTATTTAATGCAATTAACTTTTTAATTAATTCATATACAACATGTTTTGACTTTTTGTACTGATAAAATAAAAGGTAAATAACCTAATTTTATGATTCAAATCAAACGAGCATCTAATGTTTCCATGTATCAAGATCGGTCCAAATTAAAAAGTAGTCACACAACTCCTTTTGTGTCCTCCAACATAGGGACCTCGCTGTGCACCAACTATGAACGAGCCAACTTGTATGGCTCAACCAACGAGCTCAGATCCATCTCAAAATTGATCACATATTGTGTCATTATATTTGTTATGTAACAATCGAACAAGACTAAATCTCCAAAAAATCCATGTTATCATATATGACAGGTTTCAACATATACAAACATATCAGTTACATCCATACATATTAGCAAAAGTCTGATCTAAAATAAACTTCTCTAATAAAAACTAATCCAACAGCCAATCACATTTTTCTTTTGTCTTTATTCTACAACCTGAGTTGACCTGCAAAAATACATTTTACAACAATTGAGGGTTAGATCGAAAGGTCTAGTGAGTGATTTCTCTCGTATAAAAACTTGTCATAAAATAATAATAAATACAATTCAGATTTCAACTGTTAAAACTGTTACGGCTACCCCGCCAACTATCGAGGGTGTTCCGCCATCTATCGCGGTTAAACCCGCTAACTATCGCGACTGTCCCGCCATCTATCATCATCTATCGGTTTAAACGATGAACAAACTCATAGGTCAAGGCATTGGAGATGAGCACCCACTCATCTCTCAGAACATGGGAGATGAGCGCTCCCTATTCTCCCAAGACATGGGAGATGAGTGCCCAAATCGGTTATTATGCTGAATAAACAGTCTGAATGTCAAAAATGATCATTTTACCCCTAGGTTTTGATTTGATTTCAGATTTGAATTTTAGGTTTGATTTTGATTGGGTTTTGATTTAAGTTGAAGAAGATGACCAAAGGACATTTGAATTTAGGTCATTGGATTTTTGGAGATGGTGAGTTGGAGATGGTGACACTGACACCGACACTGACACTGACAGGAGTCTGGCATGAAGTTGGTCGAGATGGAAATCTATTTTTTGGTTAACAAAGGAAATCGATTTCATGGTTAACAAAAATCAGAGAGAAATCAAAAATCAAAGCAAAAATCAGAAATTATCCATCGATTGATCGATGAAGATGAAATCACATATCACAAAAATCGATTGATCTAGGTCTAGAGAGAAAACAACATCGATCAATCGATTACCTGATTGAGGAGGGAGGCGTATCTGATGAGAAGCAGTAGCGTCGATCGATCGTCTTTTGTAGAAATCGATTAGCACACTTGAGAAATCTATCGATTCCAGATTTAGGAGAAATCGATTAGCATACTTGAGAGGATCTTCGATTTTAGAACGGCGTGAAAGAAGCGATTCCGATGAGAGGCGTGAAAGAGAAAGTTGCGTGTATTAGGGGTGAGGTTGAAGGGTAGTTGGGGAATTAATAGAAAATTAAATGGCCGAGTCTAAAAGAGTTTGTGTTACCAACTGAGTAATTAAGTCATGGACTGACTGAATAAGTCACAACCGAACGGCTAGTTATGGTTGAGCGAATAAGCCACATAAACTATACAACTCATTAAGCCACAACTGAAGAGTACCTTAGCTTGCAAGGCTGCAACCATTACTTAGCCAAAATTATAGGTGTGAATTGTAAATATGTAAATAAAGGAAGGGGTCGTTTACCCAATTGCTTACCCGGTAAGCGCTTACCAATAGGAGTCAACGTTATGATTTATTTTGATGCGTAAGATTTTAGTATATTAAAACATATCGAATGCAACAATTTAGTGGGTAAGCGTTTACCTGGTTGGGTAAGAGTCGTCATCTTCACTTACCGGGTAAGACTCTCCATTCTCATCGCTCTTATCCGGTAAGATTTTTGACCCTTCACATGTTCATCCGATGAGAAAATTTATCCGGTAAGTACCTACCAAGTAAGTGTTTAGTAAACGGTTCTGAAGTACCATCTTACGATTTCTTCTATCAAGCTCTTTAACTCTGCCTCCTGCCACAAACTATAAACAAGAAAACAAATTATTTGAACAAATTCGCCTACAATTATAACCTAAAACACACACATAGATTATAAACAAAGAGTTACCCGCAGGCAAAAAGGCAGCCATGGTGGCAAACATCGAAAGCACCAGAGATGAAATTCGCTATTGAAATGTAAGCCGGTAGAGGTGTGAAGAAAATCAAGCGATCCAATTTGAATGGATCGATTCAATTAGAACCAGCTGACTATAATTGGATACTGATCCAGTTGTAATTGGATCGGATCGGCTTGAAAATTTCAATATCCAATTTGGATCGGTCGGTTCTCGGATGTCAAAACCGAACCAAACGGAACGGAATTTAAGCGAATCGACTGATTCAATTAGATATGACCGACCATAATTGGATACTGATCCAATTGTAACTGGATCGGATAGGATTGAAAACTTCAACATCTAATTTGGATCGGTCGGTTCTTGGATGGCAGTCCATAACCGAACAAAACCAAACCGAGTGGAACCGAATCGAACCGACCAACTTCCAATTACCCATCCAATTAATCATCCGATGAAAATCTAGTTATCCATCCAACCATTATCCAACAATCATACAATTAATTTGTTTTCAAATTGCTTAAATCAGAATTTGTTTTATATGAGGTTTTGAATTTTTAACTTCCCTTCTGTTGGTTTTAATACATATTAAGAGTGATTAACTAAATTATATCATTGTTGGAGATTTTGATTAAATTAATACACCGGATGGATCCAATCCCTGTCGTTTTCTTGCAGGAGTGCTAGCGCGCGCCTTTACGTTTTCTTTGCTTGCTCTGCAGTACGAGACTCATGCAAAGTCGCACCTAATATGATATGATGAAGAGGGCCGCCCATCCATTGGATATCAGATGGATATTCAATAAAAAAAAATATCCAATATATAGAACTGAACCGATCCAATCATCCATTGGATTGGATCTGTTATCCAATGTTAATCAGATCGAATCGGTTGACAAAATCCAACATCCAATGGATGATTGTATTGGTTCGGTTCCCCTTAATACAATGGATGTCAACTTTTGAACAGGCCTAATAGCCGGTTGTTGTATCCCCGGCTACGCATTTCCGCCTCGAGGACAACGTTAATATCTAATTATACTTGGGTTTCCCTTAGTTAGTTCATAACAATCTCTTAAACCGTCTGAATCCAATTATACATTAACGTAAAGTTACCTGAAATATGCTAACATGTTCTTACCGTTTCGTTCTTCCATACATGCTCGAAACTCACCATTCACGACACGCTATCGTATCGAAATCGTTACCAAAAGTTGTAGGATGTTTCAACCCATGAGTACTCAAAAGTTGTTAAACGGACATAGCAAGAATGGACGAATCTAAATGACTTGTATATTATGCAATGAAACTTGTACATCGCTTTAGATTCGGCAATTCTAGCTATCGGGAAAAAAATTAACCATGCAAAAAAAATCTTTTACAAGTCGAAACATTTTAATTTCTAAAACTATGCAATATAATTACGTCGAATAACATATTCCAACCATGGAAAACCCCGACGACCCTGCTTGCAGCACACCCGATTGCCGGAATCGCCGTTAGAGAACTAAGATATCGTCCACAACTTCGTTGATCAAAGAATCGAGCAACCGACTCTCGATGTCAACTCCAATTTCGAACAATTCGACATCAAAATCGAGCCATTTTTTGTATCCGTCACCGCTCATATCCTTATCAACGAGCTCATCCACCATATCGTCTTTCATTTCCTCCCACCCCACGATCTCTTTGTACACCTCTTTGGCTAACCGGTCTGGTCTGCTCACGACGGCTAGCCCTTTGCCCCACACCCTGCACTTCGTCTCCATACACTCACTCACACAATTGAACACGAGTTCACGCCTTAATTTAGCCACCTCTTGATTTGGTCGACCGAATTCTAACCGATCAAACACACGTGGGTTCACGATCTTTCGACTCTTACCTAAGGTGAAATCAACGAACATGCTCTCGATATCGGAAAGCACTTCCTTCACGAAATCCGCCTCCCATTTGGCACACATCATGGTGGAAGTTGCCGAATCTGATAACTCGGTATCGATGTCCATTGGACTTGACTTTCTTAGAAAACTTGCACTAATTAGTTCCTGGGCTTGAACAGAAGCTGAACTTTGCTTGCAACTATCAGCAGTATCCGAAGAATTACAACTTTCCGAAAGAAAAGACGGTTCCAGAACCGAGCTCGGACTTGGTTGTCGGCCACGGAGCAATTTCCGGTATTCGTAGTCATCGCTGCTACACTCCGATGCCAATTCTACGCACTAAAACATCACAAAACGTCATACTAAACATCGATAAATTTGAACACAAGAATCATACACACAACAATTGTATCTTATTTACAACATACCAGATCGAGCTTGTGATGTTTCTTCATAAGTTCTGTTGAATCATTTGAAGAAAACCCGTAACTCGAATCATCTCTAGCGATTCTATCTTGGCCCTAAAGTCATCATAAAAGATCAGATCAATCGTTCGTGAAATACTAGAAACAATATATACAAGACCTGTATCTAATCATGGCATACCTGATCAGGTTTGTGATGTTTTTTCGTAAGTTGTTGTAGAGGATCAAATGAAGAAAACCCGTAACTTGAATCATCTCTAATGTCACTTTCCGTTGCAGGAAATGAATCTTGAGAAACAGATGCAGGATTACCAGTTAATTCCCTCAGTTTTTGCTCCAAAAGGGTACTTAAAGCATCACCTCTGATAACATTATAGCTCAAAGATGAGTTTGAGGCATTTCTGGTCGAATCGAGAACATTTTTACTTTGGTTATTGCTCAGAAAACCGTTGGTAGAGATAGGTGGGCGTGCAATTGGAGCTGTGAACGTAAAAGAAACGACATCACTTGAATTACTTCTATAACTTCTATCTCTAACAACATTCTTGTCGGCATGTGTACGATCGCTGTCTTCCATAGAACGTTTCCTCCGAGTAGTGATGGAATATGGTTCCTTTTTACGGCTAGTTTTCGAGTTCTCGGAGATTTTACTTGAGCTTTTCTGGGAACCTGCCTTTCTAGGTTGAGGACCGATGGTAGAACATTGGGATTTCAGAGTTGACCTTCCTCTATCGACTAAGCTATTTTGTTTCTGATTGTTCTGCTTCAGAACATTTGAAGAACCGGGATTCCTTTGTGGATTTCTATCGGTATTCGGCTGAGTTCTGACTGATTGAGCTCGATGATTCAAGCCTTCGCGTTTTTGAACGTTAGCCTTTGCCTGAAGAGCCAACGAAATGGACTTTTTCGGTTCTAAAGATTGCTGATTTTTTACATTCTTAGCAGCATTTGACTCTAATGGTCTTCGAGAAGACTCGGGAACCTTGGGTTTTCTGGTAGAATTCTCTATCTTCTCCCTCGAAACTTTGAGTTTGAAAGGAACAAAAGATGACGGTGAAGATGATGATGATGATGATCCAACGAGAGGTATTTTCGATGCAGCTTCCATTATACGAGCTGGATTACTCGAGGACACAAATCCAGAATTCTTAATTGGAGATAAAAGCTTGTTACGGGTAATTGGGAATGATTTAGCTGATTTTGGAGGTAAAGTTTCAGTTTGAAACTTCTCGAATGCTTTACTCATCCCCATCTTCTGAGGTTTCGCCTTTATGGCTCTAGGAACAGCCTCCATTTCACAATCATTCGATTCGAATTCAGGATCTTTTCTAATATAAGGTGGAGTTGAATCTCTAAGAGACTGCGACGAATCTCTAAGAAACTGAGATGAATCTCTAACAGAATGTGACGAATCTCTAAGAAACTGAGATGAATCTCTAAGAGACTGAGAGTCGAAAGACGGGTTTGAGTACGTATCTGAGAAATTAAAAGTTGGCAATGAATCTAACCCCATAAGCCTTGCAACGACCCCGGGAGCTTTGGTGCCATAACCATCGTCATCGGTGACTGAAGTCGCGCAACTGTAATCGCTACTTCCTTTTAAACTAAAACCACCAATCATGTCATCTTCATCCATCTGTAAGTTTATTTCGACTTTAGGATCAAACACCTCATTTATCAACCAAATATTCATAATGAATATCACGATATTCATCATGAATTTTCATGCATAGCTATGTATATTCTTTGTTGGTTCTCAAATATTTACGGGTTCCTAAATGAACTCTCCTAAGTCAAGGTGAAGCTATAGAAGAAAGAAAGTGCGTACCGTATTGAAGCGCGTCATAGGCATGTTTCCATCAGTTCTCTTTGTCTGTTTCGGTTGTTCTACACAAATTTACAGCAGACCATTGAAGAAACAATAGGCAAAAGAATCAAGAATAGCTAGATAATGTAGGGTATGAAGGTCGATTGTACCTGGTGATTCCGACTTGCTGGAGAACAATTTCTTGCGAGATTTTGCATTCCAATCAAACAGATGGAGAAAGCCGCCAACATAGCCACCTCCTCCGCCACCCTTTGACCCGCGTTTTTGAGCACCCATGTCTACACTGCTACCAAAACCTTACCAAGAACCAAAATTCATCTGTGAATATGATTCATACATTAGAAGTTTCACAGCAAGCTAAACAATCATCGTCTTTTGAAGTTAAAATGTAAATTGTTCGACACACTTAAAGACCAAACAAGGGATTACCTAAGCTTCTTAACATGAAATTAATGCATGATCAATATGTATTCTATCACTAATTACACGCTGCAATTCGACAATTTGTAGAACATATAATGAGGTTTTTGAAGTTAAAATGTAAATTGTTCGACGCACTTAAAGACCAAACAAGGGATTATCTAAGCTTCTTAACATGAAATTAATGCATGATCAATATGTATTATATCACTAATTACAGGCTGCAATTCGACAATTTGTAGAACATATAATGAGGTTTAAAATATAAATGTCAAATCATTAACAAAAACTTCAAAATCCACAACAATAACAAAGACGAAATGATGTAATTTGAACTTAAAAGAGTAACAGGGGTATAGAACTGCGACATTGGTACAGATTAAAACTTAAATCACCTTCACAGCAAGTTATTTATAAAGTTCATATAGGTGTTCAAAGTTTCAGCTTTGACTTTAACAAAGATAGTCAATTGACCACATTTAACTCATAAATCCAGAGCAAAACAAGCATAAAAACCATAACCCAAGAAAGGATATCAATAATTATCAAAACAAACAAATCCAATTCAGTATAACAGGATCAAAATTTTATAGAAAAACCATCATTCAACAATCTAAAAGTCTTCACCTTTGATTTTATACCTAACAAAGAGGGTCAATTACCACATTCAGCTTATAATCCCCGATCAAAACAAGCATTAAAACCAAAATCCATAACGAGTTATTCAATATTCATAGATATAAACAAACCCCACTTAATAGAAACTCGATCAAGACTCAACAGAAACACATGATTTTGCACAGGATAAATCTTTCACCTTTGACTTCATACTCCACAAAGATGGTCAATTAACCACATTCAACCTATAAATAATCGAAACCCACAACGAAAGACTCACAAAATCATCAAGATATAGTACAAACCCAAATTCGATTCATTAAGCAGGATCAAAACTCCAAAAAAAAACAGTCAATCGACCGGAAACAAGCATAGTAAGCAGAACCCAGAAAAGGGTATCAAGAACTCATCAAAGTAAACAAACCCTAGACGATAATAGCTTACCTAAACACGAAGGAATCAAGATGGGCAATTAGGGTTCACCATCTCATCTTTCCTAACACCCAGAAAGCTTCCAACCCTTGTGAATGAAGATTTGAAATTGCAGAGATTTTGAGAGAAATTGTAACGTTATAGAGGAGAGAGACAGAACCCTTTTTATGTATATAGTGTGTTTTTGAGTGGTCGCATTGGTTTTCAAGCCAGAAGCTTTAAATGGGGATGGATATCAAATTGTTTCTTTGATTATTTTAATGTAATTATTTAAGGGAATATTTGAAATGGTAAAAAGAAATAAAAACATAGAAAATGCCAAAAAAGCCATAACGTCTCTTTAAGAGAGAGGGAGAGATTTCAAATTACAAACGAGAAGGTGGTTGAGATATGCTTTCCAGTGCATCGCGGTACACCATATCTAAATGTTGCTTCATCGACTTCACATCGTACGGTTACCAATATTTATAACTGAGTCGACCTACCTTGGATCATGTATTAATGGGTCAGACTTTTTGGGCCCAGAACTTAAAGGCCATTGATCAACAATAGGGATAGAACATAAAACTTATAAATGTTATGTTTTATATTTGAAAACCTTATAAATTATGATAAATAAAAAATACAAAATATATCGTGATATATGAGTTCATAACATAAACCATATATTTTGTTTAAAAAATTCAGTTTAACTATAAATAATAAGAAAATATTTTTATGTTTGCTTTAAAATGTTAACCGTATGAACTCAGCGATTTAGGTATGACATGATCTCGCATAAGGTATGTTAACTTATGTAATAGTATGTTACCATTTCATGTTATGTTGATGCATGTTAACTTATGTGAATATTTGACCTCTCTTACAGTAACGTCAGTGAGATTCCCTTTTATTTAAAAAAATTGTCATCGTGTCACTTTTTGCTTTTTGAAGAAACGAAATCATTTGAGCGCTACAAGGTTACGAATTCTCATATGATCGTAAGTATATATGTATGCCTACACACATGTACCACTGGGGGCCCACTATGCCAAAAGCGAGATAAACCCCATCCCTCTCTTTCCTTTTTTTCGCCCCCATGTCGCCCTGCTCGACGGGTGGGTCTTGCAGTCAAGCTTCCTTCTGCTTTTGCACTCGAGGGCCAATCTATGTTTATCTTATAATGCATTTAGGTAAAGCTCGAAGAGAATCTTTTATGAGCTGGGAGCAGCTCCGAAAAGTGAGGCCTACTTAGGATTTGAATTTTTCATTTTCCCGGGATTTCTCGCTTAATATCTGATGTCCCTGAGGGAATCCTTAGATGTGAAAGTGAGGAGATAGAAGAGTTCAGACTTTGAGCGCTTTTCCTTCAATTTTATTTAGAGATCCTAGGAAATTCAATTCTCTAATGAAATCAACTACCTGTCTAAGTGCACTAGCTGACTTCTAAAAGAAGACCGGACTAAAAGAGATCTCGCGGACCAATTTACATTGTCTCTGTCGTTGACGTTCGTCATGCAGACCATGAGTTCAGAGACCCGTCATTTCCTATCAAGTAAAGGAGACGTCTTTTCAGGAATCCTTTCTCCTGGCTCATATTCACATAAGCCACTCATAAAACATGAGTTTCAGTATAAATTATTAATCACTAATTACTGATGTATTAAGGGGTGTTTGGGATTGCTTATAAAAATAACTTATTGATTTATTCCGGTGTGACATCGGTAATAAGCATTTTTGAGTGTTTGGATAAACAACTTATACCGGTGTCAAACCGGTAATAAAAAGTTTTTGAAGAAATTAAACTATTTTGACTTATAATAAGTTAATAAGTGTTTTTGTAAAAAAAAAACCATAAGTTGTTTCAAATAAACAATCCCAAACACCCCTAAAAATATGGTTGTTGAAAAAATTGAAGTGAGTTTCATGCTTATAAAATAACGCCAATCAAATACAATTTAAATATTTGATTTTTTATTTCTTGTTGTAAAGTTCAGAAATATAGTTAAATTTTGGAGAATGCGAGTATAATTGGGAGATGGTTCGACTCTTATATGGTTTGACCCATGTGCAGCCCTACTGCTGCCATACGCGAGTCCATCACCGTATTAGATTTTCTGATTTCCTTGCAAAACAAGCCCTTTAAGTTTGGAAGCTTTGCTGTTTTACCCTTGACTTTTCCGAATTTACAATGTACCCCCTGATAATATAGAACTTTACCATTTTCGATCCAAATTAATATAAACTTCTTTTTCACTTCTCAGTTACATTAAATGACATAATTGACCCCTTATTTGACACAGCTTTACTTTATCACCCCCGCCAACCACCACCGATAGAGAATGCTTGGTTGGAAATGAACTTAGGCCTGCTCATACTTCCACCACCAATGGCTTCTTCCCTCTTTCGTCCCCAGTTATCTGAATCAGAAAGGTCATCACCACTTATCCATCTCCTTGCGTTTTTTTCCTGCCACCCCACCCCTCCCTTCCCCATCGCCATTGATACCCAGAACCAGAAGCATCCCATCCCCTCCAGATCCCCCAAAACCCCTCCCTAGATCTACTTCGAAGAACATGAACCAGATTGCATCCCTGTGAGATTTCAATGGGGTTTCCCAGCTCCGACCAACACACAATAAATACATATACAATTGCACGAAACCGAGGTGCAGATCAATGCGGTTTGGTACGGTGGATCGTGGGGTTTGGTATGGTGAAAAGAGTTGCACCGATGATGGAGGTTCAGTTTTTTTTCATTTTATGATTTTGGTTTTGAGAGCTGCCACCGGAGAAGAAGGGGTCATCGGAAATATTATTCGTCGGAGGAAAAGGGGAGGGGGGAAAAGGAGCCACCATCGTTAAGGGATTCGAACCAGGGGACTAAAATTGAAGTTTTCTCACGTATCTATATCAATATCTATACTATATTTTAAAGTATTTTGATAAAAACTTTTAAAAACTATTTTTTATGCATCAAGTACTGTTTATTAATGCATATTACTTAAAATTTGAGATTACAAGTAAATTATGCATAAGTACACTTATTAAAGCTTCATGTTTGAATTTGTATAACTAACTGTGGATAAGCATAATCAAAAAGAGGATAAACATCTCATTTAAAATATAAAAATTCTAAAATATAATTAGGATAATTATCAGTTCTAACAAATAATTAATTATTATCTTTACATTTTAAAATATAAAAATTCTAAAATATAATTAGAATAATTATCGAGTTTTAACAAAATAATTAATTATTATCTTTATAAGAAAATTATATTATTAAACCAAATATAAATTACTTCGTTATTGAAACTAAATTAAATTATAACAAAAAATTTGAATTAAGAAATTGCACAAAAAATGAAGAATTTTTAAATAATTAATTTGATATTAATATTAATATATTTTTATCAAATTTTTATGAGATCTTCAATTTTATATTTTATTCAAAAATAAAAACATTATCGTTTTTTCAAAATCACATAAGACCATATTATAACATCGACTGAGATAAATAATAAAGTAAATTATTAAAATCAAGATGTATCTCGCTACATTGTGCGAGTACCTTCTAATTATATTATAAAGCAATTGGCAAAAACTCTTAAAAACCATTTTTTATGCATGAAGTACTGTTTATTGATGCATATTACTTAAAGTTCAAAATTACGAGTAAATTTTGTGTAAGTACAACTTATTAAAGCTTTATGTTTGAATTCGTGTAACTAACTGTAGATAAACATAATTGAATAGAGGATAAATATCTCATTTTAAATATAAAAATCTAAAAAAAATAAGATAATCATTGATTTCTAACAAAAAATTTGATCATTATTTTTATTAAAAATTATATTATTAATCAAAATAAAATTTTGAATTAAAGAAATACGCACACAAAAAAGAAATTTTAAATAATTAGTTTGTTAATAATATTAAAAAAATTAATTTTTTATGATATCTTCATATTTATATTTTATTTAAAAATAAAAACATAATTTTTTTTATCAAAACCACATAAAACCAACATCGATTGAGAAAAAAAAATGAAACATTAAAATCGAGATGTATCTCGCTATATTGTGCAGGTACCCTTCTAATATATATATATATATATATATATATATACACAATATACATTATTATATTTTTAAAAGAAATTTAAGAAAAATAGATAAAGAAAGACTATACTACCATTTATTTAACCGACATTCATTAATGGACTTGGTGATCAGGGATCACTTTTAAAGCAAAATAAAAATCATAAATATTTTTTCTAAATTTATGAAAACATAACAGGTATCCTCTAGTTGTATCTGACCTATAACGCACATTTTTTAAACACAAAATATATGTTAGACCTTGAGGTCTAGTGAGAAATCTCTTTGATGTAATTACAGGGTGAATAATCACCAAATTACATTTATACACTAATATTTGTAAAAGTAACAAATATACATCATTTTGCCACATCAAACCTCCTTTATCGCATCAAATAATCAAATTATTTAATAAACACATTTTAGTCAACTTGTCGCATCATATAGGTCCTCGCATGACAAAATAAGATAATCTCATTTTCCTTGCAACACACTGGTACGATGACCACAACCCATTGCATCATACTTATGCGATAAACCTAAGTTGTCGCATCACACATGTGCGATAAATCAACTTTGTCGCATCACAATGATACGATAAACTTACTCCTCGCATCATATAGATACGGATAACCACACTTCATCGCATCATACAGATACGATAACTCTAAGTTATTGCATCACACATATGTGACAACTCTAAGTTATCACATCATAAGAATGCGATAATTTTGAACACTTGATTAAAACCCAATTTTTAGAACTCTATGATTTTGTCACCCTTATCTTGGTATACACCTCTCCTTGATGTGTCATATTTATAATTCAAAATATACCTCTCCTTAGTATGTCACCCTTATAATCCAAAATACACATCAATTTGATATGTCATCTTTATTTCCACACTTTATGTAATAACAATAACCCACAATCTTTGCCAAATATGACATCAAAACAGTTTTAACAAGAATTTCAGATAAAGAACCATATGGTTCTATACCCAGTTTCCAAATAAAGAAAATTGATAAAATTAAACTCATTTTAATCACAAAGAGATGAAGGTATACTGACAAACAACAACAATTATCCAAGCAAAAAAGTTTCACATAATTTAGCTTCCTCTCTCAATTTTGTTTCCACTCGAGCTTAAGAAAATGCCCAGAAAATTTTCTTTCTTCTTTTCTTCTTCTTTTTAAAACAATTCCACATGAGATAAAACCATTATCCCATAATAATCATAATAAATATATAACGCGGTGGGCTTTTTAAAATAATTTAGGCACCTTAGCATATAACCCTTCAACTTATAACTGCCTTTCAAAAACAACCCTGAGCTTTAATAATCAAATATCCGTTTATAACAAACATGAGAAATATCATGTCAATGCTTATTAGGATGCCTATATGTGGAACACTAGAAAACCTAATCACAGAGAAAAGACGTTCGATCACCATCATTGGCTCAAACGGGGTCAATGGTTGAGTAGCGATTCTCACGGAAAGTGAGAGATCACAGTGAAACTAAACTCATAGTTAACAACTTAACATGTATAATTATTTAAAGTATTTGATGCATTTATACAAATAAAATGCATTTTTTTTTATTTACATACACAAATAACATAACTCTGAATCCAAAATTTTCATTTGTCAAGAACTCCCTCTAACTTAATCACCACCGTCACTATCACCATCAAACAATTTATTTGTTGGATAGACATGACGGTCATTAAAATTTTCACCAGGACTTCAGCTATTATCACGGGCTTTGCGGGTTTTATCTACTCTAAAAAAATATTTAGGAAAAAATAATAGTTAATTCGAAAGCTCACAAGGTTTAGCTTTTTATTAGTGGTCACTACTCCTAGATTACAAGGAATTATTTAACTCGTCTGAAACTATATATAGATATAAAAGCAAATTCTTGAATTACTATAAAATAACCCAAGAAATTAAAACCAAATCATCAAAATTAATTAATTAGAATTTAAAAAAGCAAAAAAGAAAGTAAAAATTCTCAACAGCTGAAAATGGAATTATCACAGATGCAGATCAACATCCACTCCATCACCATTAATCTCATCTGCTGCTTCTTCAATCATCCTTGATGAATTCCGACTCACTCCGGCAGTGGCGTTGAACTGCGACGGTCGTCCGATATAAAACCTGCTTGGTAACCTTAAAGGAACACCCGACAGAACCTGTGGTGCTGACGGTGGACATATATAATGATCCACTACCGCCATCTGCGGTTGCTGGAACTGCACAGATCTTGTTGCATGTGCATTTAGAATGGTCACCGGCGCTGCAAACCGCCGGTGGTTGCTCATGAAGTGCACCCTTTTTAATCTTTGTCGTTCTTTTTTGTGTGCATTCTGATGACCACCTAATGCTTGCGAATTGGCAAAGTCTCGTTTGCAGTATTGGCACTCGAATCTTTTGTTGGTGTCGATGTCGGGTTGAGGTGTCGTCGACGTCGGAGCTATGCCACCGTCAGTGACGGCGACACCAAACAACTTCATTACAGAAGAGGAGGAAGAGAATGAGGCATTTTGATTAATGAAATCACTGAAGTTTCTCCCTGTTGGTGATGATGAGTTCTCACCCATTGTGAATTTAGAAGATATTATAACAGAATAAAATTAAGTTCAGAAACCAATATATATACACACTCACGCACATTATAATCTTACAAAAATGAAATCTTTATTTGAAAAAACATACGGTTTTGATATCAAAAGCAATATCATATTTGACAAAAAAATGTTAAGTAGGACCCAAGATGAGCTACTTGTCGATGAAATCATATAAAATTCTGTCTCGTTTTATCACATTGTCCTTATTATTCAAATTTCTTACTTTTCTACTCATAAGAATATACAGGTTTTTATACTCGAATCATATGAAAAAAGTGGGTTTTCTTGTATTTATTTTGTGAATATTTAACACCAGCTTTAAAAATAACACTGAATTTATTTAAAATTTATGAACACTAAGTAATCTATATTACAAAGCATTTAATAAAAACTCTTAAAAACTATTTTTTTACACATGAAATACTGTTTATTGATGCATATTGCTTAAAGTTCAAGATTACAAGTAAATTATTAATAAATACAACTTATTAAAACTTCATGTTTGAATTATAATAACTAACTGTAGATAAACACAATCAAATAAGAAATAAACATCTCATTTTAAATATAAAAAATCTAATTAGGATAATCATTGAGTTTTAACAAAATACTTAATTATAATTTTTACAAAAAAATATATTATTAAACCAAAAATAAAAAAATGAATTAAGAAATAAACAAAAAAAAAAGAAATTTTAAATACTTAGTTTGGTACTTATAATATCAATATTCTTTTTTAATTTTTATAATATAGTCATATTTATATTTTATTAAAAAATAAAAACATTGTCGCTTTCTCAAAACCACATGAAACCGTATTGTAACATCGATTGAGACAAAAAAAAATGAAACGTTAAAATTAATATACATCTCGCTGTATTGTACAAATACTCTTTTAGTTAGTAAAAATACATTCATACCACTTCCATTTTCATTTTGATCAAATATGTTACTCAACACTTGGAACTCTAATATTATTGCGAATTCTTGATAACTTTTTTTAGTTTTAACAAAAAAATATATAGAAAGTATTGTTATGTGTTTAAAAGATACTTCCAAGTTTCACAAAGTAATATTATATATATATATATATATATATATATATTTGTGAATTTGTAATGATAAATTTTTATTATTTATTTGACAACACATGAAAAGCAAGTAAGGAAATAGGGTTCTTTGAAATGATTTGATCAATCATGCAACTATTGATGATAAGTGATTATTGATCAATAGTTATAATGTAACATGCAATTTCAGTGTTGTAAACTAGTGCTCCATTTGTTGTACACTCCTTGTAATAAATTTCAAATTTTTTATGTCCAATCATAAATATTTTTCCTATCTTGGAATTATTGTGTAAAATTTATTTATATTATCAATTATTTGACCGAATGTCTTAGGTAACATTTTATTATAAGGTGAGAAGTCTCAATATCATATATGGTTACACACATGATATACAAACTTAATCATATATGATTAAACACATGTTGCATTGACAACACAAAGACGTTTACGGGTCGTCTACCAAATTTTTTATCAAGTCTTGTATGGATAAATTTTTCTGTATGGATAAATGGGTATTGTTGTTTACTTTTGTTTTATATGAATCAACCGTTTGAATAACATAAATGGTCAATTTACCCGTCGGTATTAATTATGCACTGTTTGATTAATTACTATATATTTTTTTAATTCAGATGCCATTTCTGAAACACATAAATTATTTGAACATCATGACAAAAAATCATAAAGAAAATATCCTCCAAAAATTACCCATATACTAGAGACCGGTTACAGTTGGGATTTTTTTCAAGATAATAATGGAGCCTAGCAAGAATTGAGAAGAGGACAATGATCAAAGGAAGAAGAGGAAATCAATACAACCATAATCGATTTTTGAGAATGTTTTTGTGTCTTGAGCAAAAACAAAGAATCCACTATAATCGAGCCACAACCACTCTTTAATCCCGATGAATCTATTTTTTTCAAATTGTTTTATCGCGTCTACAAATAGCAAAATTAACATTTTTTTACCACCACGACTGAAAGTCACCACATATACTTACCAAAATAAAACTCAAAACTTACTATTACAAGTTCATTTTTCCTTAAAAACTACAAAAAGTATTAAAAACCAAAATAAAACATCTAAAAAGCCAAGAAGATTCGTCGGTATGATAGCGCCTTTGAAACATTTATGATGAATTGCGTTGTTTCAAATCACAAGTTCATGTAAAACATATAAAATAAATCAAATGGCATGTCAACTAGCATTTCAAATTTAAAAGACAAAGAAAAGAAAACAACAAGTACTTGGATTAAAATATGTACATATTTTTTAAAACTAAAATTGGTAAAAATATTCATTCCTCATACATAAATTGGTCTTTTTGTCATTTTTCTATTTAATTTATCCAAATATCACTACCTCTTTAAGTCTCACGTCCTCCACTTGCGGATCTAGTTAAAAGACAAAAAACTTTGTCTTTTAGCTGGGTTCATTAGTGGCCAAAGTGGGCTTGCAGACATAGTAATATTAAAATAAATCATAAAGAAAAATTAATAAAAAAAAACCAATTTATATAAGAGAAATGATTATACTGATGGATATCCATTATTTAAATCAAACTAAAATCTAGGCTAGATTGTAGCAGGACACAAGATGATGAGGTTTGAAACAAATGGATGTGGGGGTGAAGTGGACATTGATTGTCTTCCCTATAGAGTGGACATGGTTTAAAGAAAAGCAATGAAAGGATATCATTTTTAACCTCACATCATCTTAGGTTGCCTCTTATATCTTTTTCAGTTTCCCTTTTTACCCTTTATATTTCATTATATAGTTTAATATTCTTACTTTACATGATTGTTACTTCAATTTATTGTTATGTTTTCTTCACATGGAATATAGTAAAAAGAATATAATACTGAATAATAACAAATTAACATCAGATTAATCAATTTGCATGATCTTTAAAAAAAACTCTACTAATTATACATTTTATCTTTTTAATTTAGATCCACAATGAACATAAGTAGATCATTGAATTTAGGGTTTTTCTTGCAGTACAAAATACACCTTTGTGTATTTTTAACTTTCATTTGTACGTATAGAAACAAAAAATTTACAAAATTTAAGGTTTGATCATCTACGCAATTTAACAACTTTCAGGACATCAAATTCCAGTACATTCATTCTATGGGTCATATTGGGGTTATGTGCCCCCCAACATACATCAATAACGAGCATGTTACACACACACACACACACACACATATATATATATATATATATATATGTTTACAGGACTCGGGAAACTACATTGAAAAAGTAGCGGAATTTTGTATAGTACACTACTACCACACATGAAATGGTTTCTTTTCAAAGTACAAGATTCTCATGTCTAGGATGTGTGTGTTTTGATATCTCCATGTCTAATTCTCTTTAAGTTTTCAATGCTTGAGTTATCAAAGTACACACCAAAGTGCCCCACCAAACTTGGATTCAACATTTTTGGTAGGGCATATTTGCCTTTTATCATCATGCATCATCTAGGTTTCAAGTCTAGACAATAAGAAAGTTTCCTTTTGCTTAAATATGACTAAACATGACACATCACCACCACCACCACCTTCACTGTACCTTCTGCTCTTGGTACTTATGGTGGTGGTGATCACCATGGATGCAACTTCACTACATCAACACCCATCGAATATCGTCGCTTTTTTTTTGTTTTAAAATACGACAGTTAAGTTCCGATGATGACGTTAATCCTAGAATTTTGCAAAGTACTACCGTGTCCATATATTGCAAAATGAAACAAATGATCTTACGAAAATCTACCTCATTATTCATCCTTCATTGTCATCACATTGTTGTTGTAAAAAAGGCAATTCTCCCTCAATCAAAAAGTGTACCAGAAATTCAGGGAAATGTTATACAGTTAATTTGTTTTGGTTTTCTTTATATTTCATTGGTACTTGTTATATAAAACTTTTTTGTGTCAGGACAACTTGTACATACGTCGACTAATTCCAAAAAAATCTCCAATGACTCGAACCCGTCTCCGATGACTCTAAGATACTTAATTGCAACCACAAAGGTGGTATCTGATTGGTTTAAGCTTGACTCCAAATGTCAAAAGTACCAGGAGGTCTCAGGTTCAAATCCAAGGAAGAATAAAAATCCCCTTGTGGTCATGGAGGTTCAAATGCGGTGACTCCAGGCTATCTGCAAAGCAGGTGGTCGTCCTGGTATTAGTCGGCTCGCATAGCGGATTGGATATTCAGGTTAATAAAAAAAAGATACTTAATTGCTTAAAAAATTTCAATATCACTTGTATATAAATTCTATATATATAACTTGTTTTTTCAAAGAATATTTAATTAATAATAAAATATTGTTATTAATTTAAATGTTAAATCAGATATTTAAAATTAAAAAGAAAATCAATCAATAGATGAAAAATGGATTTGAGGTGCATGGACAACAACTTGAGTTGGTAATAGTAACATCACAAGATTGCAGAATCAAGGTAGATGGTCCACCCTAAATTACCTTGTACTTTAAAGTGATTTTGGATTTTTGGTTTTTATTTTCTTTTGCTACTTTACTAAACTCCACTTTTGGTCCCTATGCTTTTATCAAAATTTTGAAATGCTCAATGTACTTCAATAAATATAAAAATTGTCATTAGATTATGCATTTTGCTCTCAAATAAGTCCTTGTTGTAACATCATTGTAGGAGAGGTCGTTAGTTGCGGAGAATTTTTCTCAATTTGTCTATTTTAATAATATATATAATATAAAGTTTATATAGCTGATATACAAATGTGATTAACATCTAAAAGAATAATCTTTTATCTCTCCTCCCCTTTTCCCGTGGCATCTCCGATCACCCTTTCTTCCTGTAAAATCTACAGCCATATTCTCCCGCATGCCCTGTTGCTCACACACATAACAAAACATGTACATACA